GGTAACATAAATCTAAAGCAGTCGTCAGTGAGCATCGTGTCTTGTCTCCTAGGCGTTCTGGACAGAACGGAGTCTCGGACTCAAAGCGCTGCATGAACAGCACAGATCCTGCTCAGACTCCTCAGAGAGCAGCCAGTGTGCGACACAAAAACCCACATTAAAGGAGTCATGTGCAGACACTTTTACCCACCAGCACTGCAATGTAAAGCCACCCCTGTTTAATGTGCTAACATCATGATTAGAGATGACATGCTACTGACCTGTGTGTAAGGACGTCAGCTTGAGCTTTCAAATACAAAGGTCTCATTGTTGTTCTCTTAGCTTGCAAATGATGGATAAAAAGCAACAGAAAGCAACCCAGCTCATACTGATACTGACTGTCAACACGTACAGTTCATCACTGTAAAAAGTGTAATGGTGGGTTTGGATTTATTTAAACTGATCTTTCATCAGGATAGATCAAGATAAAGGTCTAATGTGTTGTAGCATCAGCTTTTTGTTTTTCTCCATATTAGTTAACCATCTCTTTCTGAAACACTGGTCCTTAAAACAAACAAACTAAAGCTAGCTAGAGTATTTTGCTGAACCTACGATGCTTATTTTGCCTTGTTTATGTCAGAATAAGATAACTATAAAAGTAAATGCATCAAAGTCTGACAGTTGAGGAGTTCGTTGAAGGTCAAGTTTGACATTTTGAGTTGAGAAGTGACAAATAATTTGTCCACAACGTTATAAATCCATGTCACCGTTTATTAGTGCATTAGCAGATATAAGGAACAACTGTGCACAGCTCAGTTCCACGTGATTATTGTTAAATGCCGTAGCTGTCTCTGTGTCTGCTGTAAACAAGCTACAAACTATTGGTTTAAATATCCCCCTGCACATCTGAGTGATGCAACTACCAAACCTGAAGTTTAATAAATGTATCTGCCAGACAGTGTTTATCATTGCTGGTGAAAATTCAGTATTTTGATTCTCAGATTTGGTTGTTTTTGCCCTTTTTTTTATTATTTTACAGGATTTTGATATGGGATTTCAAGAAACTCTTCATGCAACTGATTTTGTCTTATTTGCAAAAACTTTTCCTCTCTGATGTTTGTTTTTATCAGGAAATTAATAATTAAAGAAGTCACAGCAATTGTCTCTGAGCTGCAAAGAAAACTCAAGCGAGTGCCTTACCTATACCATAGGCTTTGGCAAACAACCAGCGGAGATTTGCTTCTATTTTGGCTCTTGCAGAGTCGTAGAGCTCCAGTGGTACAACGTGAACCTCCATGCCTCCTCCTCCTCCATCATCACCACCATCCTCATCATCAGCTGCTGTTGTTGTTCTCCAGGTGCTGTCCCTGCCAGCACTCACATCCATCCTGCATGGGAGAAAGGCAAAGATTTCACTGCTAGTGGAGGCAAGCAGCATTACATCATCGACACCAGGAACAAAACAAGCAGGGCCCTGCCTCAGCTTCCTTTTCTTAATGGTGATGTGAAATTTAGCACATGGACTCACCTTGTCTGACCTGCATGCCTGTCACATTTATTCACATGTCCAGCCCATAAGTGTCCTTTAAATCACTCAAACATCATTTCTATGGTGATGTGTTGGGTTGAAATAAATAAGAAGCTATTTTTGGACATAAATGGGAGAATTGTAGTTTTTTATAATGAGCTATTGTCTTACTTGGCAGCAGATGTCAGGCATTTTCTATTAGATTCACTAATGCCAGAGCAATCATTTGTTATAAGACACCAAAAATAAATGAAAGACCCACCTCTAAGAGCACATTTAGGTCCAATTCGCAGCTTCAGCCTTTCTGCAGGTGTCTCTGTTAAAACATGGCTTCAGCTAACGGAGGAAGAGCAGAGACTCCTCCCTGTCCAGCGACACGAATCTCTCTCTCTCTCTCTGGCTTGACAGGATAAAGCTGCAGCTGATGCTTAATCCAATAACAAACAATCTGCAAGCATCCGGAAGTCCGTTTTTGAGGAAATGATCCACGTTGAAAGGCTAGCTGCCCTGCGCTGCAGCTGTCATCGGCCCAGACAGAGGACTAACGGGACTGTCGGTTACCGAGCCGCCCTGTTGTAGGGAACCTGTCTCTATGGGCACCGTGAGACCTGCAACACACCCACACACCAGCAGAGGGCGGTGTTGCCTTCAATTTCGCTTGGATGCAATACACCCATCCATCAGCAGAGGGAGATGTTGCCATTGATTCCACTTCTAATGAAGGACCCACCGTTTGGTGCTGATCCTTTTGAAGTCAAAGCTTAATATTTCTCCTTATTCTGTCCAAAAATATATATTATTGACTACAGAAGAGCATTTCAAATCATTTTTATTTTATTTTAGATGCTTATAGATTTGAACTCTAAGAGACAAAAGCTGATCCTTAAGACAAGGCTGGGATGTTGTTTTGTTTTATTCCCATTTCTTTCTCTTTCTGTTCAATTAGCATGTAAAAGTTTTAGTCAAAGGAGTTGAGGGAAGCCAGCATTAAACCACACATCAAATTCACACAATTTAAATGAAAATAATATTTATAGCAGCTGAGGGTTGTGGTACGATATGATTTGTAGCCATATGATTTTGAGGTGGGCTTTAATGATTTGTGTAAATGTGTAATTTGTTGTATTTTTTTCTTAATCTCTTTTTTTTTCTCCTCCATTTTAGAGGTTTTATGGGTAAATTTTGATTCATGAGGTGGGCTGTGCCAAAATAAGCTTTGGGTTTAGCCAATTCCTTTCTTGTTTTATTAATGTATTTATTGATTTATTTCAATGTCCATCCGTCCATCCATTATCTTACCCGTTTCTTCCATTTCAGGTCCAGCATCACTGTGCGAGAGGTGGGGAACACCTTAGACAGGTCTCCAGTCCATCACAGGGACACAGAGAGACAAACGAGACAAACAACCATTCACTGTCTCACTCGCACCTATTGACAATTTATTTACCAATCAGCCTAACATACATGTTTTTAGTCTATGGGAGGAAACCATACCTGAATAAAACCCACACATGCACAGCGAGAGCATGCAAACTCCACCCAGAAAGGCCCCCGGCTGGGATTCGATCCGGCAACCTTCTCGTTGAGAGGCTCTTCCAGCCACCCATTATTCAATATAACATTTGAAAATAAAATAAATTAGTTCTCAGCTTTAATTATCCTCAGGTTTTATTTCAGTTACCAGCTAAAATACACAAACAAAGCAAAAAAGATTTGTTCAATTTGAAATATTTCCAGACCCAACAAATCATGATGGGATCGGAGGAGAGAACATCTGTGAGCCAACTGGTTGCCATGGTTGTAACCAGTAGTGGGCAACCTTAATCTCCAAGAGAGGAAGATAGAAATGTGTGTTCATCCATCCATCATCTTTACCCATTTTTTCCTTTTCGGGTCACGGGTTTTGTTGGAAAAAGTTGCATTAGGGTTTCTGAGGTTATTAAAGAAAAAAAAAACATGACCTCATGGTAATATACAGGTTTTTGGGTGTAGTTACACATTAATATTTTAAATAAATATTTTAAAGAAAGGGAAATGAAACTATTATTTTGAGGTTTAACTGCAAGTTTTTATTCATTCAGGTCTATTTTACAAAACATTTTTATCAGGAAATATTTATTAGCAGACTACAATTGTGCATGAACATTGGTATTACTTTTTTCCTTAAAAACATTTTTATCTCTGGATTAGTTTATAAAACATGACATTTACACCTTACACTACACTCTTTATTAAAATGCAGGAGATGTCACCAAACACACAAAGGTCCCCTTTTTTTTTCATTTACATACAACGTGTTCCTCCTTGAAGACATTTTTTTACAAGAACTTTAAAAAAAATACATTGTTTTTCGTCAGAAAAACAAAAATCACACTGGCACGTTTTTATCTATACTGTGGCAAATGTAACATTTCCAACAGTCTACAACAGGTCTGCAATTTAACACTTAACCGGTTAAACACAGTAACCATAATTAAAGATTTGTAAATTCCTTGCATCATAAATGATCACAAATCACTCTTTCAGCACCAGCCATGATCATTAATCAAATGTTCATGCATGAAGGTCCAAAATCTCCAAAGTTCCTTATCTGTGACACCGTTTCTTTGTTTTGTCATTTTGTTCACAGAGGACAGTGTAACAAGCAACAGTAGGAAAAGTGACACTTTATATTAATATATTAAATTAATGTCTAACACAGACTCAGTGATAAGACTTAGTGAAATGTAGTAGTTCTGTAACAATAAAGGTCACTTAAAAATCAAAAGGTTAAAATATATTTAATTAATACTGAAATTTTAAAATATTATCTAAAACAACAAAAAAAAAGGAAATAACCTTCTGTACAAAGATAAAGCAACGCAAAACCATTTTTTTTTTTACTTTTGTGCCAAAAACAATCAAATAAACTCAGTGAATACATCAACACAAGACAAATAAATAACCAGTGTATGCACATCAGGGAGGCTTTGTCATTCACTCCTTTCCAATAGTTTCTAAATCGCCATACATAAAAATTAACAAAAAAAAAAAACATAAATATAAAATCTTTTTATTTTCAAGTCAAAAAAGTACATAAATAAATACAAAATAACTACAACTGCTTGTATTAGTATAAAAACTGATCATTAAAAGAAGAATCTTCAGTCATGAGACAAGTTTGTGACTATTTTCTGACAGAAGTGTGTTTGTGGTAAGATCCAGCTGAGTTTAAAGTCCTACTAAATCTTCATTTAAACTTGTCTGGGATCAGATTCATCTGCGAGTGGATACTTGTGGGCGGACTGGAGATGCCCTCTGACCAGTCGGACAGGTTGGAATGTGGGGATGAACTAGACCACTGGTCGGGGGAACCAGGGGAGGGGGTTAGAAAAGGGTGTTCGGGTGCCTGTAGCTGGTGATTAGGTGTGTTGTCCATAGGGCCTGAATAGCTGTGCTGGGAGGGAGGTGTGAGAAACTGGGTGCCGAGCATTTGCGTCTCCTGTGGCATGATGGTGTGAATCGCCACCGAGCGTCCTGAGCCACTGTTCTGCTGCATGTCGGAGCCGTTCAGCTCGATGTTTGGGAAGCTCTGGTTGTGAGCTTGCCCAGCTGTGGAGGAGCTTGAGTTCTGGTGCTGAACCTGCCGTGGGTGAGCCTGCTGCATCAAGTGTGCAGATGAGCCAGGGCGGCTGCTCTGCAGGTTCTGGTAGCCCATTATCTGTGACAAGGTGGCAGTGCTGACACTGTGCAGTGCGCCCATTATGTTGTGTGCTATGGGTGGCCCTTGGGTAAAGCTTCCTTGCTGGTTTACACTAGGATGCATCCTGGTGACCCAATCACACTGACTCCCTCTGCTGCCACCTAAAGATGTTGTGCCCTGAGAGGTGGGGCTGGACACAGGCAAGTGGGAGAGACGGGGAGGGTCAAAAGACATGCAACCCATGTCTTTACCCATATTAATCTGCCCCAAATGAGAATTCCCGTTGCCTTGTAGATGATTTAAAGACATGGGAGGTGACTGCTGGAAAGGTGATGCCATTGGAGGAGAAGCAACATCTGACAGGTAGCCATGAGGTGACTCAAGTGAATCAACCGGGGAGAGAACAGCGGATGTGTCTAGTAAATTATTTTTTCCATCCAGTGACTTTTTCTTCTTTACTCTAATATCCTTACCCCCATCCTTACCCCCTTTCCCACCAGAGCTTGGTTTTCGAGGCTTCTTGACAGAGGGTGTTGGCTTAAGGTTGCTAAGATAGTCACCGGGGGAGCAGAGAGGAGGAGAAAGAGTAGATGTGCTCAAGGGGGCACTGTGAAGACCAGGACTCCTAACCACGTTGTACTCATCTAGAAGCCTGACAATGTCATGATGCATGCGTTCCTGGGCAATATCCCGCGGCAGCTGGTCAAGATGGTCGGTGATCTCACGGTTGGCAAAGTGCTCCAGCAGGACTTTTGCTGTTTCATAACTGCCTTCACGAGCTGCAAGGAAGAGTGGGGTCTCCTCCTAAAAAAAGGAAAGCAATTATAAGATAAAGTTTTAAAAAGTATCATACACTGAAGTATACCATCCACCACATTGTATGTCAAAATATAAACAAATATATTTTTGTTCTGTTAGCCCTAGAATATGTGATGGTGATGACTATCAGCTACTTCCACACCAAATCGTTAGTCCCTCAATCGCTCAGTATTTGTGAAACTGACTGATTAATAGCCATTTTTGTGTTTGTTGAAATTTATTAGCTGTAATAGCCACTGTGAATCATTTTAAATCCAAAAGTTATTTATTGTATACTTACTTCTGGTCATTACTTTCTGAGTGTTTCATTAAAACTCATGAGATATTTTGTTAACAGACAGACAGTGTTAAATCCAACAGGTAATGGCAATGTTTTCAACAAAGATCTTGCATGATCTGTAAGCACTCAGAGTTTATGTTTGAAACTACTCTCAGCTATAACCACACCAAATTGTAGCTCATTATATGTAAAAGTAACTGAGTTCATCTAATTTATGTACTGGCTATGGTTGTTTAGTTCTGGCAGCAATCTTGAGACAAGTCCACACCCAAACCTGATCACTTGTTAATCTACTGTACATCCAATGAATATTTTCTGAGAGTTTCATTAAACTCTATTTAATGGGTGATGAAATATTTTGCTAACCAATAGACAAACATGCACAGGTGATTACGTTATCAACATGCAATTTAAACCTCACATAGTTCAATCACTGCCATCGTATCCCATACCTTGTTGTTCTGCATGTCTTTGTTGGCCCCGTTCTTCAACAGCACCACTGCAGCTTCCACATTGTTAACAGATGCAGCCCAGTGAAGAGCAGATTTACCTGTGGAGATTGCAGATTAAAATAGTTTATTTTATTTAATCCCAGCATTATGAGGCATACATACAGTATGTGTGATAGTGCCAGGATGAAAAACAAAAATGTTAGCTACCAGTATCATCAGTGGCGTTAGCGTCAGCGTGGCAGTTGATAAGTTCTTCCACCATGCCATCAATCGCTAATCGGGCAGCTAGGATGAGTGGCGTTGTTCCATCATGCATCCGGGCATCAAGATCAGTGGCACGATTTCGGATTAAGATCTACAAAGAGGGAAAAAAATGATATTGAGTTACTATGCATACAGGTCCAAAATGAAAGTGAGATGATTGAGAAAGCAGTTACCTGAAACACTCCCTGTGCATCTGCAGCCACGGCAGCATGAAGCGGTGTGCGACCCATGTTGTCCTGAACGTTGGCATCGGCGCTGGACTCTAGGAGGCGTTTGGCAGCATCTGAGCGGGCATAACGGGCTGCTAAGTGGAGTGCGGTCTCACCAGTGCGATCGGTCTGATTATGGAGGTTAGCGCCCTGATAAATGAAGTCAGAGATTATTTCCGCTGATGGATCTTCTTCCTCTTCACTGTTACCAGTCTCCAGTCCTCCACCACTGCAGGAAGCAATCATCAGTGGGGTGAAACCATCTGAAAAGGAAAACAGATGATAGTGAGTTTCTGTTCAAAAAGGTTGCACCAAAAAAAAAAATCTGGCATGTCTATGAACACACCTGGTCCTCTGACATTGACATCCATGCAGTCATTCTCTATCTCTCCCTGAGGAGGTGTAGCAGCAATGGATGCTATCCTGAGATCAGCTGCATCCAGATGCTGCTGAGTCCATTTCCTTTGGTCACCTTGATTGCTGAAATCCAACATGGCTTGCTCCTCAAGCTAAAACAACAGCAAGTCAATACAGAGTCAGTGTCAGTGACATATTTAATTTAAATAGCTTAATTTCAGCAGCAGTGCAATAGGAAAAATACCTAATTGTTCATCTTACCCTGAATCGCCTACAATCTGGATGATCATCATCCCATTCATTTTGATTATCATCCATAAGACTGAAGTCTGAGTTTTTCATAGGTCTGTTAAATAAATGAAGATAAATTGCATATTAAGTCTTAAGTGCCCATTATAAATGATGTTTAGTAGATAAATTCTGAGTTTCACATCAGAGCAGCCTTAACATTTGACTTTAGTCTACTTACTTGAGTCCAACAGAATCCTCTCCCAGTGGCTCTCTGCGTTTCTTTTTGCTAGGCTCCGATGCTTTGAATCCCTCAGGAAACCAAAGCTGGCCATGCTCTCGTCTCCTCTTACGAGACACTAGAACACCCAGGCAGAGGAAACCCAAAGCAGCCAGGCCAAGGAAGACTACATACATGGGGTAGAGCTCTGTAGTTCGGGGAGTAGGTCTCACACCTGAAGAAATAGTAAACCAATTACCATGTAGAGCTTAAGAGTTCAGTGGAGGGATTATTCTGTGTTTATGTTTGCAAAATAGCTAAAACACTGCACTGAAAATGACAACATACTTGTAACTGCCTCAATATATGGGACATTAAGATTCCCACTGGTGGCCAGTGCTCCAAGAAATGCAGCCACATCCGTTGCACTTTGGAAACATTCAGTGGACTGCTGATAACACTGACGGTTGTCAATCTCCAGGTAAACAATAGACCTATGAGCAGAAGGTAGGAAAATTAGCAATGTATTCAATTTTGTAAATCAAATACAGTACTTTTCTTTTTTTTAAGTGTTACTGATATGACATCTACTTACCCTTTGACTTGTAAAGGATCCAGCTCTCTGCGTTTCCGTGGACTGACCATGGAGGACACACTCTCCTTTACCTGACCCAAAACACTGGCTGGCATTGAGGCCCACTCAGGCCAACCATCTGCAGAGCGCTTCAGCATGTTGTGTTTAACCAGGTCTTGTTCATTGCCATAGTAAGGAAAGATCATGGGCTCCCCTTTGGCGTCTCGGCGAAACACCACATTGGTGTGTAGGACACTGCTCAGCTCTCTGAGGAAGGATGAGGACCGGTTTTTAAGATGTTCTGGAGTAATATGGACAACCAGGACTAAATGTCCATCTGCAAGCTTCTCTGGCATGTTGTTGGCACAGTCAAGGCCATCCCATTCACATTCTGCATTGTTGCAGCCTTGGTCACAATGACCATCAGCATAGTGATCTTTACAATACTGATCATACAGAGGACTGAAAAATAAAGAAAGTGATTGTGTTAGTGTTTATTGAAAGTCACAGTTCTTTGACTAATCCCCAAAAAACATTTTCTTTTTACTTACTTGCACTGTCCTTCCTGTCCTTGGCAATCAAAGCCATCATAGAGACACCCTGGACTGTTACACTGGCCGTCACATTTCCCATTATTGAAGTAACGCCAACACTGCAGAGCAGCGGAGCAATTTTGCCAAGGATCATCAAAATTCAGCGAGCAGTCTCCTCCGTCCCATCCGCAGGCATGGTTGTTGCACAGAGAGTCACAGATGTGGTTTCCTGCCCACTCATCACACTGAGGAATCTCACAACTCACCTCCACTTCTGGAGGTGGGGTAATGTCTCGACCAAACCCCCCAACAAAGGAGTAGTCCAGTATGTGGCAAAGCAAGCCGTTGAAGTTACTGGGACAGCTGCACTGGAAAAAGGGAGCATCTGGGGTGATCTGGCAAGTACCTCCATTGTAACAGGGATTAGAGATGCAGAGGCTGTCAGTGGGAGTTAGGCACTCAGGACCTGTAAAGGTTGAGGGGCACAGACAGCGTGGGCCCAGGTGCCCTGATACACAGGTACCACCATTCCTGCAATTCAGACTGCCACAAGAGCGAGAATCATACTCGCAAGAGGAACCAGTGAAACCCTAAAGAAAATAAAAGGATAGTATTATTACTCATTCTGAATAAAGATGTTAAATGAACAAGTTAGAAGTTTACAAGTAACAATTTTAGCTGAACTCACAGGTGGACATTTGCAGATGAAACCATGAGGCGTATTACTGGCAACAGCACAAGTCCCTCCATTTCTGCAAGGTTGTCCCTTGCAGCCATCAAACACCTTGTCACAACGCTGACCTGCAAAACAGAAGCAATGGCCATTAGTCAGGTACTCTATTCGACACCTATACTCTTAAGTTTTATCTATTACATGTATCAAAAGGCACACAACAATACCTGTATATCCAGTTCGACATTCACAGCGATAGCTATTTGTGAGTTGGATACAGTTGTATGACCCTCTGGGGTCACAAGGATCTGATAGGCACTCATTGACATCACCCTCACAGCGCTCGCCTACATAACCTGGTGGACACACACACTGGTAGCCTCCGATGCGGTCCACACACTTGCCATTGTTGAAACACTTGGGTTCTTTTGTAAATGGGTCAATGAGTGGGTTGCAGTCATCCAAATTAATCTCACAGTGAACACCTAAGGAGTGCAGACATATCAGTTTAGACCATGGCTATCTAATCTGTTTTGGTTACCTCCATTTCTGGTTCTTCATTATATTTGATGTGCAGATGTATACCTTGTGTTCCTCTTGGACAAGAGCATTTGTATGTGTTGATGAGGTCAATGCAGGTGCCTCCATTTTGGCAGGGTTGAGACTGACATTCATTGATCTCCTTTGAGCAGTTCACACCATGGTAACCAGGGACACACTGATAAAAGAGGCAAAAATAAAATTACAGTTCACTTAAGTCTTTTGTCAACGTTTACAAATTTACTATGTAAACTTAATGTGATTTAATCAATTTATCCTTGACTCGACCTTATACACTTTACCTCACAACTGTAGCCTCCTAAATAATCAGTACAGGTTGCTCCATTCTGGCAAGGATTGGGTGAACACTCGTCCACCTGGTCCTGGCAGTAACTCCCAGTGTAACCAGCTTGGCAGCGACAGTAATGTGTGTTCCCTGCATCCAGGCACTGGCCTGAATTCCTGCACAACTGAGACACTTCAACACCTGCAACAAAATTCAAAGGAAAGGTTTACAGAATGTACCAGTCACATGCAAGACTTTGATTCTGTCACCTCAAACATAAAATCTAATATACCTTGCTGTTTGGCTGCAACCTCACAAGACACACTTGGTATGTCACAGTAGAGGCCAGTCCACCCAGTCTGACACTGGCAGGTGTAAGATGCTCCCTGTTGCCAGCATGATCCTCCATTTTTACAAGGGAAAGAGTCACACCAGCGCACCAGATTCTGTAAAGTAAGTAGAGCAAACATGATAAACTAAATATAGTTGGAATATGAAGGTATCAAAGTGTTGTTATTACATCAAGTCCCTACCTGACAATTGACTCCAGTGTAACCATGAGGACAGGTGCACTTGTATGTCCCATAACCGTCAAGACAGGTGCCTCCATTGAGGCATGGCTTAGAGTCACACTCATTTATATCATATTGACAGTAGCTGCCAGTGAAACCAGTCAGACAGAGGCAGGTGAAGGTGTTAATTCCATCCACACAGGTGCCGCCATTGAAGCAAGAACTGTACAGAGAAATCAAGTTAAAAGACTCCATTTCTCACATTTGTGCAGATCATTCAGTAAGTGAGCTAAATATTGGCAATGTGAACTACCTGTCAGTGCAGTCATTGGTGTTAATCTCACAGTTGATACCACTAAAGCCCAATGGGCAGGTGCAGGTATAGCTGTTGACACAGTCAGTGCAATTGGCTCTATTCTTGCATGGGTTGCTCTCACATTCATTTATGTCCTGCTCACATCGGCTGCCACGAAACCCTGGCAGACAGGTACATGTGAAACTATTGATTCCATCGTAACACAGTCCTCCATTACTGCATGGATCTAAAATGCAGAAAATAAGATAGAAGATTACAATTTACTTGTGATGTTTCAAATCATGAATGGGAACTTGCAATGCTTCAGGTCAGTGGCTTACTTGGCTTGCAGTCATCAATGTCTGTCTCACACTTTTTGCCAAAGTAACCTGCTTTGCACTTGCACTGGTAGCCACCCATAGTGTTAAGGCACACAGCACCATTGTGGCATGGATGTTTCACACATTCGTTGATATCAATTTCACATGTCTGACCTTTTGTTTAAGATAAGAATAATTGGAGAAACATTTTTTAAACCCCAGTGGATTAAGAACTTAACAGACAGGCATGAACACGCAACAAAGAATAGATGCTACCTTGCCATCCTTCAGGGCAGATGCAAGAGAAACTTTGGTAGTCTTCAGCTTCTTTACACATTCCACCATTTTTACATGGCCGAGAGCTGCAGGGGGCCAACAGGGTCTCACAATTTTCACCTGGTAACATATCAAACATTCATGGGAGTGTTAGCTATCAATATGAAGCAGCTGCTTCAAACTTCCAACATCTAGCATCAAGTCACAAAAACAAATACAACTGTGTTTTGTATTGCAGTATTTTTGTTAATAACATATTTTTAAAAGTCACTACATTCCATTATTCCATTCCACATCCTTATCCATTTCCACGATGACTTAGCCAAACAGGAAAGCCCTTCCAGTTTCCTGCCATTGTGTGATCATAGACAGGAAATAGGATGCAATGGAAGTAAGGCTAGAGTGTGGAACAGAGCCTGCTACTGCAGCTTATGTCAACTACTATGGCATGTTATTCCACAACACACATACTACATTATCCCTGCAAAACAGACAAGTGAATCTTTCCACTCCAAGATGCCAAAAACAAGGAATCCCTGTGGTTAGCAGTTGACTGATGTTTTCTCAAACAACACAGGATAAGATGAGATAACACCTTTGTGCGGAAACTCTAGGGCTCTCTTGATATTGTCAGACCTGAACATACAGCTGAGACAGCAACAAAAACCATACACAAATCAGGAAATTGTCTGACTCTTTAAGTAAAAGATAAGCCACTCTCTGTCATACCAGTGTATGGCAGCAAACAGTTGCATTTGAATCCAGCCACATCATCAATGCAGGTTCCCTGGTTGAGGCAGGGATTGGATGCACACTCATTGATGTTAGTTTGGCAATTAGGTCCTACAGCGTCAGGATTAGAAAATATGCTTGGGTTAGATATCAACCAACATACCAAACCTTTTGTGTCAATTAAAAGAAAAGATTGGAACTGACCAGTGAAGCCGACTCTGCATGTGCAGTGGTATCCGCTGGTCATGTCCTTGCAGATTCCCCCATTCATGCAAGGGTTGGACTCACATTCGTTGTTATTAATGTCACAGTTTTGGCCACTCCAACCAGAGTCACAGGTACATTTGTAGCTTCAAAACAAAAAAAATAACAGGTTAGTGATGCTTTCTCTTTATTGCAGTTTTTCCCTCTCTCATGTCGTTAAAAATAGATATTTGCTCACCCATTTATGAGGTCTTGACAGTGGCCGTGAATACAGGGGTTGCTGACACACTCGTCCAGCTGTGACAAACAGGTAGCATCTTTGTAGCCCTCTGAACAGAGACACGTGAAGCTGTTGATGCCATCAACACACGTGCCCCCATTGTGACAGGGGTTGATGGCGCAATCATCAATGTTAATGTTACACATTGTGCCTGCAAGACAATAAAATGAGAATTTAAGTTAGTGCAGCAAACACTTCGTTTTATGGTGCAATGCGTTAAATTTAATCAGTACAGAGGGGAAACAGCTACTGCCTTGCTTGTTATTTACTTAAAAAGTAATAATCAGCCAGTTTAGCTGCTTCTTCCCCAGCATTCAGTGAGCAGAAGCCATTCCAGCTCTAGTGTGTGCCTGGCCTGGTGGCCCTTGGGGGCCCTATTTTTACTTCTGCCCGCTGATTGAATGGGGTCTTGATGAATAGGCAGAATAAAGGTTTCAGCTGGATATGAGAGAGGCAGGTCTTTCCAAAAGTGAGGGAAAGACTAGCCCCCCACCCCACTCAACTAGCTAACTTCACCCAAAACTGTTTACGAGGACAGAAGGCTGAGCTAGTTTCACACACGGTCGAGTGACAATTACCCCCCCTCGGATCTCCTAGATTTTTTCCCTCCTCCACTGCTCTTCATCAATCAAGAAGGGGAGTAGCCAACTGCCTGATATTCAGTGACAATGGTCCTCTGTCCCCTCTGTGTCTCAGTCCTGCTGTTCCCTCCACACTCACCCCGCAAATACAAAAAAGATGGTGGGGAGAAGGAGGAGGAGGGATGCACAGCAGCCTGCTCACACACACTTGTTACCTACTCTCGGCCTCTTTTGTGGAATAATCACAATTGCAACTATCGTCCAGAACCGGCTTTGTTAGGCCATTCAAAGAAATACAGATGAGAGTGGTTAACTTGCTGCTAAATTTGTACTTCCTATTACTTTGTACATTATGAGTAGACAAGCAGCCTATAAGTAATGATGTGAAAATGTTTAAATCTGACACATCAGGGGGATGTAACATGGAGTTTCACACTGCTACACACTCAAAAGTGTTTAAAGGCCAGTCTTTTCTTTTTTCTTTTCCTTTTTTAAGGATCACCTTACAGTCATTTCAGGCTCGGCATCACAGTCTTTTCAGAAGACAAACACAGTTAGAGCTATGTGTGTGGGTTTGTGTTTGACTATCAGGTTTTGGGGGCTGTCCTCTCTTTTTTCCTACCTGTCTATCCAATACAGGCAATATGACACCATTGTTCCACAAAAGCAGACCCGCCAGCCACCTGTCAAACCCGCCCCTCCCAAAGCACAGGAGGACCACTCCCCTGCACCTGTATACTCCATCCAGCACTCACCTGTGTAGCCTGGCTCGCATGCACACTCATAACCATTGATTTTGTCGATGCACTTTCCGAAATCACACGGTTTGCTCTTACAGTCGTCCAGGTTTACTTCACAGTTCAAGCCTAGAAAAGGAAGTAAAATAAAAAGATGAGAAAAATGCAGAAATTTTCCCTAAATGCGTATTAGTTTTCAGGGATAAGTAGAGTGTCACCTGCAGTGCCTTTGGGGCAAGAACAGAAATACGAGTTCTCCCTGTCCTGGCAAGTGCCACCGTTTTTACAGGGCTGACTAAGACACTCATTGATGTTGGTCTCACACAAGCGGCCAGTGTAGCCAGGGTGGCAGTAGCAGGTGAATGAGGCCAGGCCATCCTTACAAGTGCCATAGTGGCAGGGATCAGAGTAGCACTCATTGATATCAATCTCACAGTGCTGCCCTGTGTAACCTAAAAAAAAAGAAATAATCCATTATTGCATTGTTATCTCAAAAGACCAAAATAAATTAAATGCTACATTATATAAAAAAAATAACTGCTGTATACCTTCAGCACATTCACAAGTGTACTTATTGGGTCCATCAATACACTTAGCTCCATTCTTACAGGGGGTGCTAGCACATTCATCAATATCCACCTGGCACAAGTTTCCTGAAAATCCTACAAATATACATTTATAAAACAAACAAAGAAATCTTATTTAGTTCTAGATATTCAGTCAGTATCTAAAAGTGAACATAATTTAAGTACTGAGAGCAGACAATCTAATTTGAATTTGAAGTAGGTCCACAGGACACTGAAAATGCTTACAAACCATTCCACCACACCACATCCAGCCCCCTCCCCTTCCTAGCCATTACTATGCAGTGAAATCTTTCTTTTAAAAGACAACACAATGGCCCCCAGTTTACCAGCCAATCCCTGCCCCCGATTTTCGCGCTGTAAGCTCTAACACAAACTTTTGTGCCCGCCAAATATGCTAATGCTTCTACAGCCTGCTCCACTTCACTCATAAAAGGTTTAGAGACACTATTAGAAGTAAATCATTAACATTCAGTGTGTGAGCCATGTGTGCTAAACACACTGACAGATCGGTTAATGATCCACCTTTTGTACAACGCTTTCCTTGCTCCAGTTTGACAACAAGCAGGTTTAATTTTGTTTAAAGTATTATTAAATTGACCAGTTTTGTCAATTATTTCATACAAAGTTTTACACATCTTACCTTTTGGACACTCGCAGTAGAAAGAGTTGATCTTGTCGATGCACTTGCCATTATTGAGGCAAGGCTGGCTGGCACATTCATCCGTGTTGATGTGGCAAAACACGCCCTCGTATCCTGAAATGATGAATAAAGTAGTCAAACTATTATTCCTGCCATCTTACCCACATTTAAAAGAGAATGAGCAGTCCTATTTGGCCTTCTCACACCACCAAGCTTTACAATACTTAATAGCGTAAACAGCATGGTGAAAGGGGAAAGGTAAACCACATAGGTGGGACTCCTGTACCTGAACTGCCTTACCGGTATGCTTTATCACTATGCCACATATTTGTGTATGTCAGTAAGAGATGCAGGTTTGTTTTCTACTTGTATTTTCTAATGGTACTGTATGTTTGGAAGGCAGCCATGCACAGAAACAGCCAAAAATAGGGAAATCCAGCAAATTCCTTATAATATCTCACCTCCTGATCCCTAATGACACATGTTCCTCCTACATTCCTTTAATTGCATAATCAGCTGTTAGAGGACAAAATCTACTACTGTAAAGTACACGTGTGAACAGCAACTGCAGAAAAGATCAGGAATAAATCACTTGTAAAATACACGTCAAAACCTATCGAGTAAGGAATGGACAGATTTTAACCAATCAGGGCAGATCATGTTTTGTCAGAGTTAGATTATTCTAAATGTTATGTGAAACTTGAACCTTTTAAAAATGTACAGTTTCTATTTGATTATGTCAAACTGTTTGATAAAAGAAAAAAGTATTAAGCTGTTTGTGATCAAATATTTAACGTCTTCTGTTCTTTTCTTGCTATAACCCCTTGTCTTACCTGGCATACAGATGCAGTGGAACCCTCCAATCTGGTCTAGGCAGGTGGCGTCATTATGACATGGATTGGACATGCATTCATTAACATCCATCTCACAACGAGGTCCACCATATCCTTGAAGACACTTGCACTGGAAGGAGCCTTTGGTGTTGAGGCAGCGACCACCATGCTCACAAGGATTAGCACCTGAAACATATAAGGTACAAGTGGTCATAAACCAGTCCTAAGTCTTGTGAAGCAGTTATAAAGGTTTAAGTTTTTAAAACAAAAATAAAAAAGCATTAAGGATTTTTAGAAGGAATGTTTATTGCCTATCAGCTTGCATACCAATGTATCAAGTAAATATCTTAGATGGTCTATTAGTATTCAAAATATGTGATGGGGACAACTGTGAGCTACTACCACACCAGTGTTTAGCTCAATATTTGTGTGTGTTTGAGTTGAGTTAAAATCTGCCCACTAGTTTAAGCAATATTTTAGCAAACACAATACACACCACATAGGCAATTACATTATCACCCGTCTTTCATGGCAGAAGGTGATAAAAATCAGATGACTTTATTACTCACCAAGGGCACACTCATCGATATCTGAGTTGCAGGCTGATCCAGTGTAACCTGGTGGACAGGTGCATATTGCCTTGCCGTTTACTGGGTTGGTGTCACAGTTAGAACCTTTTTGACATGGGTTGCTAATACAGGCGTCATCAAGGTGGCAGAGCAGACCTACGGGTCCAAACACAGCAAATTAATTTCTTTTTGTCAAGGTCTGTCCTCGCAGTGCATCAGTAAAGATTGAAAACAGTCATTACCTGTGCGTCCATGAGGACACTCGCAGAAGAACGAGGCTACGCGGTCATGGCAGGTGGCGCCTTGATAGCAAGCTGCACTAGCGCAGTCGTCTATATTTTCGCTGCAGTCGTCGCCCATCCAACCATTGACACAAACACAGTGGTAGCCACCGTGTGTGTCATGACACGTTCCTCCATTCTGGCATGCGTCAGGCATCAGCTCGCACTCGTCCACGTTTTCTGTACAGTACTGACCTGAGAAGGGGAATGAAGAATAATGTAAGTAATTGTTACTGGGGATGTTTGCTCATTTTATGCTGTTTAACTAAGTTGTGTAAATTAAAAGTAAAAATTAAGTGAAAAGTAACCTGTGTAATGAGGTGGGCACTGGCAGTTGTATGTGTTCACCCCATCCACACACACACCACCATTCTGGCAGTTGTGACCTGGACAGTCATCAATGTTTTGCTCACAGTGCTGCCCTGTAAAGCCTGATGGACAGAGAGGAAATGAGACCAAAAGAATTAAAAAGGGCGTGCACTAAAAGCGGTAAAAGACAAAGACTTAACAACACTGAAATATGGTTAATAATCAGACTTTTCCTTCCGACCTTAATCTTTGAGCACATAAAAAGATAAGCCCTCTAGATTCTTGTGGCAAACAGTTTTAATACTCCATAGATGACAGTGCAGCTTGTGTCCTCCTTTGACATCAAAGGACTTGAGAGAGTGTTTTACAGCACAATAGTTTGATTAACAACCAACCCACAGCTCTGCAGGTGCTTGTGCAGCTTTGCTATCTAAACGCATTCCAGCATGGAGGCACGCAGCATGGATTAAACTTTAACAAACAAGTCCCTCGTTCATCTGCATGTTTAAATAACATGTTTTGTGCTCATCATAAGTAAATAATCAGACAGAAACACAAGCAGTATAACTATCTAATAGCAATTAAGTAAACTTTTTTGATTGGCAACAACACTTTCGTAAAAGTGAAATAAAGAAGTATGATGAGGTTTGAAGGGAAAAATTTTCTGTGCAGCTGAGGTTCTACTGCATATGTGTCAAACTCAAGGCCCAGGTGCCAAATGTGGCCCTTGTTAACATCTTATCTGGCCCCCAAGTTGACATGTGAAACGTGAAATACTTCTGTCTCTTGAATTTTTTCAGTAATCTTTGATTATGATGTCGAAAGCACAACAGAGAACATCAAATGAGACCAATCAAACTCTTGTTGAAGAACTGTGATCAAGAAAAGATGTTGGGTATCTGATTTGAGTAAATGTAGTTTCTGAAATTGGCTCTTAGTTTGAAAAAGGTTTTAATTTTGGCTTCCTTTTGTAAGTGAGTTTGACTCAACAATGTTCAAGTTGAGTGAAAAACAAAATGTTTTTTTATGAGTCTGTGACTCAGCGAACAGGGTGTGCATATCTATACGTTGTGTGTACACATGGCTTTAGCACCTTTATGGGATCGCTGCTGATTATCAGAAGGAAACATCTGTTTGACTATATCCTGCCAGGGATGGCTGGCAGAGTGGAGCTGAATAACCAGAAACGTACTTCTCTCAATCAGATTGTACCATCCTACATTCCCAGTCAACCGATTTTTAGGAAAGTTAAGGTTTTCTTACTGCACAAAAGCAAAATCATGTGTTCCAAAGGACTAACTCATCAAATACAAGCTTGCATTTTACCTGGAAGGCAACTACAGTCGAGGGTGGTTTCTCTCTTCTGGACACAAGTTCCTCCATTCAAGCATGGCGAAGGACTACATGGCTGGTAAGTGGTCTCACAGTGCTGACCAGTAAACTCTTGAGGACAGCGACAGTGGTACGAGCCAACCTCATTCACACAAATGCCACCATTAAGACACAGAGAAGGAGTCTGTGCACACTCATTTACGTCCTGTTTGCAGGTTTGACCTTGGAATGTGGGTGGGCAGGTGCACTTGTACGTGGAATCTAAGGCTGAGCACTGGCCACCATTTGCACATGGATTGGAAGCGCAGGGGTTGGGAGTCTGGCAGGTCTTGCCTGACAAATACACAAAAAGAAAAAGGTGATTCGTGGTAAAATCAGAGAGGGGAAAAGGTATACGTCATGTCAAAAGATTTGAGACTGTTTGCGGCATACCTGACCATCCTGGTGGGCAGCGACAGCGGAAGACAGAAAGACTAATGAGTTCACATGTTCCACCGTTGCGACAGGGGGAGTTCATGCAGGCATGGTTTGTGGGGGTCAGGCATAGTCTGTCTGTAAAACCCAGGCGGCATACACAACGGAAGTCAAAAGTGTTGGCATGAGAAACAGCTTGGCATTCACCACCGTTGTGGCAAGGTGAAGGGCTGCATGGGCTAGGATACTGGCACCGGTCACCTACGTAGTCACTGGGACACCTGTGAGAAGACAGTGAGATGGGAAGAGGGGGCAGTGTTAATCAGAAAACTAGCACTTTTTTTGTTTAAATCATGAGAACAAATATTTAAACAAAATGGAAAATCTAGGAAGGGGACAGTGGTGGGGTAGTGGAAAGGGAGCTGAAAGTTTCCCGCACTGCAGAGTGCCAGGGACAGCATGTTGTTCTAGTGTGTCTCTCTGGATTAGGCACTCTCATAACCTTGAAAACACATTCTACTAGGACAACAGACACCAATAAATAGTCGAGCCATAACAGCCTGTTCCCATCTACCTTTTGCCCCAGGCTGTGACAACATTCATCCTGAATGACTGAGGAGATCAAGGGGACAAGCCGCCCATGGATGTACCCTATTAAGTTTTGCATTCAGGCTTTAACCAGTCCAGCTCTGCTATCTAGACAAGGACAGTTACAATTACAGTCACATGGCTAGCTGATTATTACATCATTGTCCATCAGTTCACAATTACATGAATCAGGAATCACTTTTAATATGATGATTCAACATTCACACTATTGCTTTCCTTTTATTTATTTATTTTTTTTGGGGGGGAAGACAATTTTTGCAATCTAACTGCATATTTAATACTATAGTACCCATTACTATGAAAGAATGTTCACTTCATTCAGGCTATGAATGCCATGAGTTTTTATAACTTTTATACATTTTTACTATATTCAAAAATATTATTCTATGGAAATGAATACATATACATACAACTGAAGGTATACATTGAAAATCCTTCAATTGCTTCCAAATGACCATTCTTTGAATTCTGCCTCCACATCCTTGCTCAGTTTTATTTTGGATGCCACTTTTTGGCAACCACTTTACTACTTTTAGCTTTCAAAAATAGCATTAACAACCCAGTTCGAACTTTATCAGCAAATTTCCACAAATTCATTGAGCACCAAGTACTGACACTGCATTTATACAAAAATGCAATACTGTCCCTCTAGTAGCCATCTGTGCACTTAAAATGCATTTTCACCACAAAAAGAAACATCTTACAAAAACTGAGTTATTTTGATTTTAGCAATTGCACATATAATTAAGATGCAGCTTGTACATAACAGCAATGCCCCATCTGTCACGTAAAAGGGGCATTTAAAGTCAGCAAAAAAGGTGTTTATGTTTGAATTGGAGCTTGTGTGACAGTGTGCAGTTGCACACATGATTGTGAGTGTTTATGTGTAAGAAAGGGCATCTGTTGGCCTCCGACTATCTCCACAGGGAGCAGGTGCGCATGTTAATGAAGGCAGCTGTTGGACAGGACTCCTCCTCACCCCCTCTCATTTCTCCTCCCTTCTCCCCTCTGCCCTCCTCTCTCCCCTCTCTGTCCTCCTCTCAGATGGGGGTACTGAAAAGCCATCCTCTCCTCCAGGGACACAAAGAACCCATGTGAAGTCAGCTGTTGCAACTTCTGTCTTCAACTCACCCCACTCTACAGATTTCACTTCCTATCTCCCCTACCTGTTCCCAGTTTTCAAAACAACATCCTCTTTCTCATGTTTTTCTCAGAATTTCTGCTTCAACTCCCATTTTGGTTTACAGTGGTTGTTTGCTTGTTGTTTTTGCACTACAAGGATTTTATAGCTCCCAGCAGTTCGCTTTTTACAGCATCCTCCTCATGTCGAACAGGGCTGCTAAAAACCCAGTTGTTGACTCAGGAGAGACCAGTTGGGAGGGGGTTAACAATCTTGTGTGCTCCAACAGTTGCAATTGACATACAACTGTAAAGGTATTTAGGGAAGCTTTGAAGTTTATCTGCTTCCTATTTCACTCTTCACACTGAACAACAAAAGGACAGCGAACGTTTGGTATAACATTTTGGATAATGTAAAAAAAAAAAAAGTTTTATTAGCAAATGCGTGCTTGAGGTTGTGTGTGAATCTATGTCACCCCACAGTAATAGGTGTAACAGATCCTCTTTGTCCTGAAGTCAGTCCATTTTGAGATAAAGATCCTCCCACATGCTGAAAAGACCAGCAAGAGCGCACACTACGCCGGCAACAGGTCTCTGCCGGCGATGCAATGTCCCCTCAGGCCGGAGCAGATGCTTCCCTGACCTCTAACCCCAAACACTATTGTGAGTGTGGGACGGCCTCTTTGCCTTCTCTCCCCTCTCTGCTCTGTCCCCGCTGGGCCTGATCCGCCATCTGTCACTTCGGGGGTGACTTTATCCTCCAACACAAAACCAGCCACAACTGTGCAGTGGAAATGCCACCGCTGTGGAAAAAGTAACAGAGGATGACATATAGCCTACAGTAACTTGTACATGTAAGAGTTTGAAACTCCTTTCATTACACATACACGTTACTTAGTATCAGCTCCTTTCTTCCCTCGTTCCCTCTCTTTTTCCCTTTTATAGTCGTTTCTGACCTATCCTCTTGATTCGCTTTGCCTGATTATATGCGGCTAATAATTAACCTTGATCTGACCACTGGGGTCCACATCTGTTAACAAGAAATGAATAATGTAGTTGAGAAAATCATTTTGAAAAAAAGAAAGGAATGATTTTTTTTGGAGATAAACCTTTATTTTGTTCAACTATCTTTATTAACAAAGGCTAGGGAGTAAATCAATTTCAGAGCAATAAAGCTGAACATCCATTTGGTCTTCATCTACAAAAACCAAACACCCAGATACTTCAAGAGTGTGTGTCATACACATTGTTTTACTTATGTCGACCTTATCAAAATGCATGTAAGCAAAAAAATGAAGACACCCAACTTCATCCTCAAACCAGTAAAATCATCTGCCCACTGACCCACCTCTTAAGGTTATCAGATAATCTGTAACTTGAGTATGCAACTCAGATTATTATCAATCAGGTGAGCACATGTACGCATCATAAACCCATGCCTTCGCAGCTTTTTCAACATCATTTAGCAGCTTTGATATAATATAATGGTATAGTTCAATCTAGATGTGATTATGTTACCTCCCAGATGTGTATACGATTTTAATGGTTCTTTGCAGAGTGTATGTACATTTTTGTTCTTAAATATATGTCAATATATAAGTCAATTGTCAATTATAAGAGGCCTAACTAATTAAAAAAACACTACCCTGAAAATAATAAAAATAAAAATAAATTAATTTAAAAAAAATTATAAAGCAGCCAAAGTCTGAAGAAAACCTTTAAAAACTCTCAAAAAGCCAAGAGAGCAAATGGTTGAGAACCACTTTCAAAGTGTGCAATACATTTTTTCACTGAAGCAAAACATAAAGAAAAATATGCCAAGTATTTCATAAAAATACATGACTGCCCACCTTTCGTGGCAGCGGGTGATAAAAGATGAAGGGCTCAGGATATTTTCCCATGCTGTACTTATGAAGGTGTCATTTCTACGTTTGACAGCCTGTGTTGGTGAATGTGAACTTTCGGCACCCACTAGAGAGAAATAGCCTCTTATCTGCCTGCTCTGACAGCGCAGCTTCGGTTACTTTGAGAATCTACAGATCCTCAGAAGCCAGTCCGGCAGAGAATATGAGAAACATATCTCCATCATAAATACTTTCATTACAGTAGCATTATGAAAGGTTTTACAAAAAGATTTTGCTTCCATGCAAAAAAAATTAGATTGAGCATGTTTCCAGGCTGTATCCGAGGGGTCCAGGCATCTGGGGAATGGGTCTGACCAGGGAGTGGCTGGCTCAAAGCTTTAAACTCAATAACAGGCCCAACATCAACAGGCACACTTAACCCTGTCATGCACTCGCATGCTCCAGATTCACTTATCTGACATGGAGCTGAGCCTTCACAGAGACCTGCCTGGTAATCCTATAGTAGGAAAAATAAAGAGCGGCATTCCTTGAGTGGAGAGAGTCTCATCTCTCCAGTGGTGCTGGACTCGCTGTTTTAAGTAAGACATTCAGCATCAATGCAAGACAGCTGTGTGTCAGGTCACAGGGGTGCGCTCACTCCCAGCACCACAGACTGGAAGTTATTTCTCACTTTCTAATCTATTTATGTCAGGTGTCTAAGAGTATTTGAGACAAGCGGAGCTGCTACTTCTGACCAAAAACTGTTTGTTTCTTGAAAGCAGCATCAGTCATGTAAAGGCACAGTTTGGGTCATCAACCTTTCAACCCCACAGTGCCCTCATTGCTGTTGCACAAATGGAAACTGAATTTGACTCATAGTGTGTTGTACCCTCCTTGCATGCTTTCAGGCTACCCACAGAAGCAGTCAGCTACAGCACCATGGGGCTCAACAGGAAGCCCAAGACCTGCAAATAACCTCTTACTTCTCACACGGAGTACTTCCCCATTAAAGACACCCATTGTAGTTGTGTCTGTGCGTCAACAACCACAAACAAATGGTTTTATAATGTGTAGACAAATAATGTTTGGATATCTCTGCAAAAAAAAGTAGCCTTTTTTATTTTCTTTGCTTGATTTGTAAATGTAAAATGTAAAAGACAAAACATTTGTTCTTCATTACAGTTTGAAAAAACAAACTGCGTTAACGTTGACCATTTGCAACATTTCACATTGATCTGCAAAGCTAGAAATCAAAGCAAGAAACGGGTCAAAACGATTTTATTTTCGTGTAATATTGAGTTAAATATGTCACGAAAGTTAAACCAAATAGCTACATTGTAAATGACTTGTTGAGCTTTTCACCGCTTCCAACAAAAATTAACCTTATGCTGTCAAACTGGTTATGGTAACTGAAAATGATACTTTTATACAACAAAACTTATCACCTGCAGCCAAAATGTGATGCGATGCTCATGCCTGCGTCTTTGTAAGTGTGTGTCCATTAGCAAAATATATTAATAATGAGTACACAAATTTCAATGAAACTTGAAGAAACGAAAACAATAAATTTACATCTACAACTGATTTTGGAGTCAGCCTCATTCAAGATGGCTGCCACACTCAACTGACCTTTGGAAAACACAAAAAATGGCTACCACTCAGTCAAATATTGAGTTAAAACTTGCTGTGGTTCACAACACTTATTCTAAGTGCTAATCATTGCACAAGTCCTGTGCTTAAAATTTTAGCATTGACTGTTGGAGGCAACCCTATTTGTCTGTTAGCAAAATATCTCACGAACCACTGTACAAACTTTTGTGAAATTTTCACAAAGTAATCGCCCTAAAACTGATCAACTTTTACAGTTAATCCTGTTGAAAATGGCCGCCACTGCAAAATAACATGATTCTTTGAGGAATGCTAGTTTTAGTTTACTTTGTATATAAACAAGCTCATTTAATTTATTCCCATAGTGCAAAGCCCTTATGGGAAAATGAGAGCGCTTGTAAACAAAAGCTGCATCCAATCAAAGTCAGAGACTTAAATATAGCTGCTTGTTCAGTGCACAGTTGTATCACCAGGACATGAGGGAAACATCCTTCCAGAAAGAAGACGAAGCTTGTCCTAATAAAAATTATAAATCTATTCAGGACTGCTACATTTTACACCAATTTAAAACTTTGTCTTTGTGTCATCTTGTGACATCACCCTGCTGTGGGAACTGCACCGGAGGAGTGTTTACATCTGTCTTACCGCTCAAATGTGTATCACCATATGCTTTCACACGAGAAACCACAAAAGTAAAACGTAGCTCACTGGTAGAGGGGGTTTTACATGTCTAAACTTTTTTATTTCGGGTTATTCTAACCACTTGTGAAATTTCCAATAAGTCACCAACACAAAATGTGCCAGGAGTGATGTGGCACAAACTTTCATGCATGTGACGTGAAAAAAGAACATGACTGGAAACCCCTCCTGTGCTTGACCCCTGAATCTCTCAGTTCGGCCCCAGGAATGATAGATAGCTGCTCAGCTTGGCAGGGATAAATGATTAATGAGAGGAAAGTGTGGAGGAAGGGAGAATGTGGGTGGGTGAAGTGATGCCCCTCATCCTGTCTGTTTTTAATTAGACTGAATGGAGAAGAGGACCACAGTAAGAGCTTTGTAGAGACGGAGGGAGAGTTTCTGGGTGCCAGTGTGTCCACACGTGCAGATGTTTGTGCTTGTGTGTGTGAAGCTTGCCGATTAGATATTGTGAATCGGTGGCCCTAGGCTGTCTCGGGTTCTTTAATAACTCCCCCCCCCCCCCTAGTTGCTCCCACAGACCAAAGAAGCGCCTGCTGTGACCACATGCCATCAGAGTGAAACAAGCCACCTCTGAATTTCTTTAAGGGTCCAAATTAAACCACAACTGGAACTCTTCCCCATTTCCAAACCTCATTTCATAAACTCTTTTTTTTTTTTTATTCACAATGAAACAGCAAATACTAAGAAATCACAACATTCCTGATTAAAAAGTTTTTTGTTTTTTTTGCTGGATAGAAGTATTTGTTGTTCTACAAAGTAAAAGCTGTATTAATGCAGCGATTGTGTCTTTCCAGATGTGGAAGTTGTCCTTATCATAGACGCTAATGCACGCCCATACCATTAGAGAGGCAGGCTTTTGATCTAACAGGTCCAGATGGTTCCTCTTCTCTTTGCAACAGAATGGTTTCTAAAAAGAAGTTCAGATTTCATTTCGTCTGACCACATTTTTGTCTTTGTCTCAATCACTTTTAAATAAGCACTGGTCCAAAAAAGATCATCTTGAGGCTTTAACTTTAACCACTTGGCACAACAAACTGTGTTTACAGCCGACGTTTTGTGGAAGTGTTTCTGAGTCCATGCAGTGATGTCCTTAGAACCTGTTTTTAATGCAGTCCTGCCTGAGAGCATCCAATATCGACTTTTGTCATTTGTAAACAGAAAGTTCTCCAGATCCTTGAAATCTTTTGATAATATTTTGCATTGTAAATGATGATGTGAAAATGTCTTTAAACTTTTATAGATGAACATTTTTCTGAAATGGTTTCTCAGACTGGTGAACCTCTTCCCATCTTTACGTCTGAGATATTCAGTCTCTTCCGAATGTTCTTTTTATACCTTTTACTGACAATAATCTAATTCGTTGCGAAGTGCTCTTCCAGCAGTTTTTATTATTCTACTTTTACATTTACAACCTTTTGTTGCTCCTGTCCCAACATTTTTCTTAGATGTTTGTGCCGTTAAATTCTAATTTACGTTGTTTCCTTCAAAAAACGTGGTCCAATTTCTTAATATCAACAGTTGATGTGTTTAATTTGTTCCATTATGACTAAAATATGGGTTGATAATGGTAAACATTGCATTCTGCTTTTATTCACATCTTAAACAGCATCCCATCTTCTCCTGAATCTGTTTTTTTTAGAAAGCACCTGTTTCATCAGTGAAAACAAGCAGAAGTTCATGTCTTTTTTATGACCATCATAAAGTCAGCTAAAAAGAATATGTTGGGATATCAGATGTCTCCCATCCATAAATCATTAGCATCCATCCACAGCAAACGCACACTCAGATCTGCCTCCATGTGTCTCTTCCCACTTGTTTGCCTTCAAATTTCTGCACTTTATTCCAATTAATCCCACTCTCTTGACATCCAATTGAATTACATTTCACAGCCATCTGGCTTTCAAATGGAGATCACTAAGGTGGTAGAAGGTGGCGGTGGGGTGGTGTTTATTCAAAATGATGGAGACAGGCCTTTTGGGAAGCGAGGGAGGAGATAGCAGTGTGTGTTGAGGTGTCTGGGGTGGCTGTGGCATGATGGGAAGCCCCACTCAGATTAGTCACACAGCATTATTCTGACTGCAGGACAATGGGTGACGGGCGGCGGGCGAGCCGCAGCTGTCGCCCATGAAAGAGCAGAACAACAAGATTTAGGGCTGGACGCGTCCTCTCACTTTGCCACCGAGGGGGCCTTGCATTCATTAACGGGCTGCTGTTTGGAGTGGGGAGGTGGGAAAAGGGGGGGGGCAGCTTTTATCTGCGTACATTCTGCACATTCTGGATCAAACGTTTACTTTTTATTCCTTCACTTCTCAATTTCTTTTTTTACAGGGTGTGTGTGGAGTAATGCAGCTCCTGCAGAAACTTCAGAGAAAGGCCGGTTGCTGGGGTGCAGGAGCCCCACAATGGCTGGAATTATTTTTTTTTAAAAAGCGGGGGAAATGTGGGCCCCTTTTCTTTACAATACCCCCCCACCCCCCAACCCACCCACCCAAAGAAGCACTTGCTGAAACAACAATAGACCCCACAACATAGAAGAAACTTGAAAAATCATTTTGCGCATCATATAATTTAGTGTTTACTTACTTGCACTCTCCATTCCCATGTGGAGTGGCTTCACATCTTCCTCCATTCAGGCACGACTCGGTGGGTAGGAAGCATTTTAGACCTGGGGTGGGGGTGGGGGGGTTAATTTATAAATATGTCAAAACACATTGGGACCCAACATGAAGTTTTGGTGTTAAACTTATCAGGAAACGATGCGTAAAAGTTCGGACTTCTCAGTGGCGCGACTTTAATCATCTTCATCTTGTAATTGATTTGTTACACGAGTGTCCGTGAGGTGTGTGGAGGGGTGGGGGGGGCGCGACGCGGACACCGGTGAGACCGTGCTATAATGGGCGCGTGGGTGCGTGGCTTTTGAGCTGGAGCGCGCACGCTCTCTTTCTTTTTTTTTTTTAAATTTATTCTATATCGCGCGCGCGAGCGGCAGCTGCTGCGGGGCGCAGAGATGCGGAACAAAAGAAATCAGAGTCCAGCACGAGCCATAAAACACTCTCTCCCCCCGGCATTGTTTACCAGCAGACGTAAAAACAGACCCCCACCTCACTCCTCCACCCCATACACATACACACACACACACACCACTCTCCCACACTTTGAAGACAAAAGACGCCCCCCTCCACCCCCGGCTTTAGCGTCCCCCTCCTGCACACAACTTTTACTCTCCACAATGTTACATCAAAACCAGTCCTCAGAATCACGTTTAACATTTAATTAATTCTTTTCTTTATTATCTATAAGCGATTAAAGCAGGAACACGCAACTCAAAACACTTTTCTAAATGTGCGACAAATGTTGCAAAAAGTTACTTTTGCACCAAATTTGTGCGCCAGATTGCGTCAGGATGACTGGTTCTGTTAATCCGGACAGAATGGACTAGATGTGGTTGACAGAGTTCAGAGGAAGTCAGCAGCCGGTGCAGCAACTTCCACTTGTCAAGTCTTTCCCACGATCAAGAAACCCTTTAGGTTTCTTTCACATTTCAAGCGCAGCTAAGTTTCTGAGGCGCGCAAACAGTCCAAACAACTTTTTAACAGTCAGTAACTTTTCTAAGTCTCTTCTTAGTTGAAATATTTCAGGGGAAAAAACAAATACCTTGTGAGAGGACGATTGCTGGAATCAGAAATGCAAGTTTCACAAAGAAACGAGACATTCCTCCTCTTCAGCTTGACAAATGCGCTTGGGTTCGCATAGATCCGCAGTCCGGATGTTTGCTTCACTTGAAAATATCCTTAGTTTGGATTTGTGACGGGTAAATCCAGCAGAGGCAGAGGGAACCGGCTCAGCAGATGGTGACCTGCTGCCTTCTGGGTTCTGAATGAGAATCTGCAGGCACTTCAACTGCAGGTTCCTCCTCCTCCTCAAATCATTGCTCCCCCCTCTCCTCGTGAGGACAAACAACTCTCACAGCTCCACAAGTTATTATTTCACAGTTCAGACCCAATAACTCAACAGATAAAATGTAAAATAGGCCAAACTGATTCCAAATAGTTTCATTAATTAAAAAAAAAAGTGAATACTGTATTCAGTTTTAATTCATTCATTCAACCTTTATTTATCCAGGTTAACCCACTGAGCACGAGGACTCATTCACAAGAGAGACCAGATATGTGCTGATTAATTAATTAATATTAACTGAATAACTACTAACTGCTAATTGATTAATTAACCTGATTAATGCTCAGTGAATGGCTTTCAGAGCTTAAAGGGCATTTTAAGTTTTAGTTTTCAAATGTACTAAAGGCGCTGGTTTGATCAGATTGTTATTTTATTTTTAATTGAAGTATTTTTACACAGGTATTTGTTGCAATGCAGACTTTTTAAGAACTGTTATGCTATTTTTTTATTGACATGACTGTTTAGAAGTCTAGTTTTTTAACAACTAATAACTTACCAGCTAATAAAAAAAATAATAATAGTACTATTACATGTATTTTGTGTGATTTTTTTTTTTGCCCTCAGAGCAGGGCCAGCCCAAGGGGCCCAAAGCAAAATTTGGTTTGGGGCCCTCTATTTCTGCTAATAATGTGGATTACTGCAATCAACAGTCAGATGATCAGATCATTCACCCACCCTAACATAATCTTATTGCAACTCTGACAGCCCTGTTTACATTATTCTATATGTATATGGTACTAAAAGTAACAACAACAACAAAAAACGCCAGTATGCACTGTATTTTACAACAAAAGTGTCATCTGGTTTATTATCTTTGGTTCTAAAAAATTGCAACAGGAATGTTCAAAATAATTTGCAGTGCAAGATCGACAGCAAACAACAGATAAAATAACTTAGATGCATAAAAATAAATTAAATTGTGCAAAAACAGACACAATTAAATAAAATAAAAAATAAAATATCAAAGAAACACTTAAATAGTGTAAATTAACAATTACTTGAAACCACGTAAAATGGTTTAAAAAAATTAAAGTTGAATAACTAGTTCTTAAAACTATGTAAATGTATGCAACAATTTGCAAAATATAAACATAAAGTATTAAATAGAATCATATAGAAATCATTACTAAAAATAAAAATTCCACTTAGGGGGGCCCCCTAGTGGCCCCGAGGCCCTAAGCAGCTGCTCAGTTTGTTTATGCCTTGGGCCGGCCCTGCCTCAGAGTCTGTGATGGGGATGACTCTCAACAACTACCACAAAACAACTTAGCTCGATATCTGCCAAATTCACTAACTTTTAGTCATTTTTGTGTTGTCTAAGACTAATTAACTGTGGCATACATTTTTATTTGGGTTAGTTAACATCAAAAGTTATTACTTTCTGAGACTTTCTTTAAAACACATACACTCGTTCATGAGGTCATTTGCTAACAGACAGAAAGTTAATACCAATTTTTTACACAAACGTATTGCAGAATAGTGCTCAAAGCATGTGTTGGAGTTGATGCTTAGCCACTAATTTTAGCACAATTTTTGTAAAGTTTGCTAAATTAAAGCTGATTTTGGTGACCATCTTGAACTGGATTTACTCCAGAAATTAAAGAGTTATGGATGTACCCCTATTGATAACGTGTTGAATATTTCAATAAAATCTGTTGACTGGTTCATGATTTATTTGTGTTGACAAACATTGCACACATAATCTCTTTTCCTTTCATTGCAGCAGGTGAAAAAATACATTGAATCTATATCTTTTGATGTTTTGTGTTATATAATCAGAATCACTTTTTTTTTGCACAAAACTAAAATATATTTGAGGTCTAAAGTTTCAGTTTTAACACCATAAGTCTCACTTTTCTAACTAATCCTCAAAGCATGTGATCACTTGTAATGTTACGAGTGCACAACATCTTTTCACACAGCATGCTTTTACATACTTCAGTTGTATTTTCACTGCGATATATATTACTGGACTGACAGTTGGAGGGCATGTCTATACCAGACTCCTATTATTCCTTTTTTTTTCCCCTGAGGACAAGTGAAACTGTCAGGGAGTAACTGCAGAGTTTCAGCACCCCGGGGCAAAGATTATTTTATTTAAAAAGGCCCACGCATGCTGGTCCTCATGTCGGTGCGGCAGCCAAATGGATCAACGCCAAAAGGCACACAAGTCTCTAGAGTTGCAAGAAGTGTGGGAAACCGTGAAAGAACCCAGAGAGGGAGTGGGAGCAATTAGCTACAAATGGATTGCGCAACTGAGAAGTGAACCTGAGCATTGAGGGGTTGGGATGGATGAATTAGAAGAGATGTGCAGGGGCATGCAGGAAAGCACCTGACCCACCGTGAGAAACATCAGATCTTTTAGGCACACGCTCAGCTGAAGTCACGGCAGAAACACTTGCCCTGTTGCATCCTCCACACGCATAACAAGGCGTGGTTGGCTCTTTAAATCAAAAGGTGCTGATTTTTTAGAAACTGAACATGTTTGTTCCTATCTGCGATGAAATCTGACCTTATGTTTTTTAGCCTCTTGTTTTTTTGGGGTTTTTTTTACAGACTTGAGATGCTTATTTAAGGGTTAAAATTGAAGGCCATGAGAAAACACTCTGAACTGGATTCACAAGGTCGGAAAGGGGAAGACCCAAAGCAAGTGAAAACAAATTCTATCAAAACCAAATATAGAAACAAATCCTAGAGAGGTCTACACAGAGTGCAAGAAAACAGGGTAATTTCTTTGAGATTAAACATGATTGTTGCTGACCTCTGCAGCATGAACTCTGGCTGATCATGGCAGTGGATCCTGACCCGGAGCACAGTGGAGTTCCTTCCTTCCTTCTGTAAGAGCCGAGGCCAGAGATGGTGATAAAACCTTGCTCTCTTTTGGCTAGAACTACATGATGTCATCCAGCTATCAGACCTGAAAGTCCAAACAGAGCTGGAGATAACAGTGGTGGTTGACACCCAAACACTCAGCACAATGAATTTAAGAAGAGCACAGTGACCTCAGGGTCACACACATAAAAAATAAAGCATTGCTACGTTTTACCTGTGAACAAACGAATAATTCCTGAGTGCTGAACGACAGTTGACATGTGCTGTAAGAAAAACTGTTGTTGAAGCTAAAACAAGCAAACGACTAGCTAAAAGGTACACTGAGCAAAACAATAGCTGAAAATAGCAAACTGCCAGCTAAAATCAAAAATGCTTTTTTAAATTAGTCATTTAAATCAGTCGGTTTAAGATAATTAGAAATGTCTCTTGTTTATGTGATGTAATAATGACACCAGAGGTGACGCATTAATAAGCTACAGCTTTAGCCTTCGCCCTTTTTTGGTCTGACTGTATTGATATGCAGCTTTGCAAGTCAGTGGAGTTGGTTTATGTTTGTTTTTTTAATTCTATTATTTTTTTATTGGTTGGTTTTCCATTACTGTATTTTGCTATAACCAGTTACTTAGATTACAAGCATGTCTAAAATACATAAAATCCTGGATGACTCTAAAGTTTCTGCTTTTAAACTCAGACAAGACTGAGGTTGTGGTTTGTTGGACCCGAGCATCTTGAAAATTTTGCAGTCTTTCACTTCCTCTGGTCTTTGGGTCTTCCCTTTCCTCTCACACTAATTTGGCCTCCAGTTCTAATGTAAAAGATCTTGGTGTTATTTCTGACTAGGACATGTCTTAAAAACGTTACGAGGACCGCTTTCCTCCACCTGCTTAATATCACTAAAATAACATCTTGTCAAAAAAATTGTGCAGAAAAAAATGATTCATGCATTTATCATATCTAGGCTGGACTATTGCAATTGTTCATTGTCTGGGTGTCCAAAAACGTCTTTAAAAAGTCTTCAGCTGATCCAAAATGCTGCTGCCAGAGTTTTGATGAGAGTTAGAGATCATATATCTCCAGTTTTAGCTTCTCTCCATTGGATCCATGTCAAATTCAGAATTGAATTCAAAATCTTACTTCCAATACAGAGCTCTCTACAACCTAGCTCCATCTTATATTACAGATTTTATTTTTCCATACTTTCATAACAGAGAACTTTGCTATCAGACTGCAAGTTTACTCGCAGTTCCTAGAGTTTCCAAAAGCAGAATGGGAGGAAGATCTTTCAGTTATCAGGCTCCTCTCTTGTGGAACCAACTTCCAGTTTCAGCCGATGAGGCTGACACATTGTCCAGTTTTAAGACTGGGCTTAAGTCTTTCCTTTTTGATTAGGGCTGACTTGGGTTTCCTGAGCTATCCCTTAGTTATGCTGCTTTAGGCTTAGACTGCTGACCACATTTCCTAGCTCTGCTGTTGTCTTTTACTTACTGTGTCCTACCTGTTTGAATTTGTAATTATTTATATCATTAACATGAATTTTTAGTCTTTCTTCCAATAGAAAATACACCTGAACCGGCCATTATGTGTTTGTTTGTTTCTCCTTCCTGTTTCTCTCAACCCAGCCGGTTGCTCATCCTGAGCCTGGTTCTGCAGGAGGTAAATTTATTCCTGCTAAAAGGGAGTTTTTTTTTTTCTTTCCACTGTGTCCTTGCTCAGGATGAGAGACTGCGATGACATGAAGATTCAACGCAATCTGCTGGTTTCCTTAGAGAAAAACCTTTTACTAATGGACTTTTTTATGCCTATGAATGTTTCTGTTCAGTGCCTTGAGATGACTTCAGTCATGTGACTTCGAGCTATATAAATAAACTGAATGGAAATTAAATTTAATTTTAAATGCAGTTTTAATATAAAATTTTTACCTTATTTCTACTTTCTCAGATTATGTTGCAGTGTAATTTGATCATAGATCGCTTTTTCACAAAGTCTGAAAAACATGTTTAGTGAAACAAAAAGTGTTTTCTTCTAAAGAGCGCACCCGGTGTCGCACAATAAACTGCCCGGAACTGTGTGCCCGGAACTGAGTTCACATCGAACTGTTTTTTATGTGACACCGACCGCATTTCCCCCTTTGTAGACGAAAATGAAGCCAAATTTCGAAATGCGTCTCACAGAGGAGATTAGAAAACATAAAAATCTGTATGACACGTCAGTGAGAGAATATAAGGACTTTCAGAGATCAAGAAATTCGTGGAATGAAATAGCTCAGACTCTGGGTAAGGACGCTGCACTTTGTAAAGCTAAATGGAAGTACCTCAGGGACAGATTTGTTAAAGCAAGGAAGAAGATGAGAGGAAAAAGTGGGGATGGTGCAAATGGAGGTGTCCCGCCGATTTTTCATATGCTGTCCTGGCTGGACACCTTTATAAAAAGCCGAGAGACAGAGACAAATGTGCCTGCTGTAAGTATTTATTTTTAAGATACTTAAGAATTTAAAATAGCTAGCCAAAAGTTGTCACGCTTCATAAATAAAATGTAATTAATTAATCATAAATGAATTAATTCAATTATATTTTAGTCTTCCATCAACATTTAATCACTCTACGTTGTGTACATGATATTTAGGACTTCAATGGCAGTTCCAGTGGGGTGCCTTCACCTGCCTGCTCCAGCAATAACTCCAACCAATGGGCACCTTCTCCATCAGGATCCTCCAGCAATAACACCAACCCATGTGATTCCCCTGCTCTATCAGCCTTATCCAGTTCTCATCCAGCCTGCTCCAGTGAGTTCCCTGCCCCAAGAGAGTCATCTCCACCAGGCACTAGTACTCCGACCCGAACAAAGCTGGGAAGGAAGAGGCAATGGAGGGAAATTGCTTTAATGAAGAGGCTGGAAGCCATTGACCAGCGTAGAGTGAAGCGAGCCCTCAGAGATGATGAGGATACACGGTTTGCCTCTGCAATGGCTGACTTGCTAAAAAAATTGCCTTCAGGAGTCAAATCACAGGCACGATTCCGTGTACATGAGCTCCTATTTAATATAGAGCAAGAATATGCACATCTGCAAACCCACACCTTGGAGCCACCGTAAGCTGTACAATTTTTCAGTTCCGTTTATGTAAAGTGTTCTACATTTAATTAAAAAAATTAGAAATGTAGTGTTTTATATCAAATATTAGTGGGTTCTTTTATTTCATGAATTCAAAATGTGTGTGATTTTTTTAAAAACTTTTTTAATTGTGTTCGGGTCAATTTCCTCTTAAATGTGTCTTGTTATGTTGCACATTGTAAGGAATTTAGATGTAAATAAATAAACATTTTCCCCATGGAATATTTTCTTGGTTTTAAAAACACACAAAGAAATTGATTGAAATCCAAATGTTCATTATTGTAAAAAAAAAGACAAACAAATTCATTTTATTATGAATTTATTGAACGTTAATCACAAACAACCTGCCTCTTATTGTGGCTTGTTGTCAAGACACAACACCGTGTGGTGATGAGAAGAAGTCCCGCAGGTTGTCCCTCACTACACAGGCCGTTCTTCCCACATTCCTTGTGGCGCTTGTTCTTAATGAAGATTGCAGATCATTTCCTGCAACTTTCCTCCATTCTCCTATATGGACGAGAAACAAGAAAAGCAAATTTTATAGTGGGTGGGGTGTGTTGTACTGTACAGATGAGCTATAAACTACATATTGTGTGTGTAATCACCTGGTAAGATGTCTCCTGATGGTGTGTCAGTGTCAACATAGTTTGTGGGGATGTACTGTCTAAGGTCGTCATTGTAGGCCAGCCAGTTGTGTAGCGCCACACATGCTTTGACGACATGGACTGTCTTGGATGGATTATATTCCATCGGGCGGCCGAAGATCCGCCATCTGGATGACAAGATGCCAAAGGCGTTCTCGATTGTTCTCCGAGCCCTGCTGTGATGATAGTTGTAGACCATTTGTGCTTCCTCCAGATTTGAGCCTGTGCATGATAGAATATCAAATTTATTACCAATAATTCAATTCAGTTTATTTATATAGCACCTATTCACAACGAAGTTGTCTCAGAGCACTTTACAGACTCATTCACATTCATAGAAAAGCCATTTAGTAAAGTTCTCTAAAAAAAAAGTTGAGCAACAAATCATCATTATAGTCATTATAATAGGAGTAACAATAACTTTATTAATTCCCGAAGGTGAATACAGAATATTTCATCTCGCTCCTGGCTCAGCTGTACACCCCAAAAAACCTCATCACCTTTTAAACGTTTTCAAAAACTTACCAGGATAGGGTCGCATAAGATTTTCATGGGGTGGAAAAGCTGCGTCCCCCACAAAAACATGTGGATTGTTGACATTAGTCCCTGGTAGGACATCAGGAGGTGGAATATCCAGGGTGCCATTCAACAGCTGTTGTCCAAACACACTCTCCTGGAAGATGCCGCCATCACTCTGATGCCCATATGCTCCCACATCCACCATAGTGAAGCGGTAATGTGCATCACACACAGCCAGGAGGACAAGAGAGTTCATTCCTTTGTGATTAAAGTCACTCCCACATCTCGGAGGGCAACGAATCCTGATGTGCTTTACATCCAGTGCTCCTGATAACAAATAATAAATAACTGTAATATTTAAAACAATTATTGTAATAATAGCAATAAATAAAATAGGTAGACAAACAGCAGAGACAGAAAGACACAAACCAACCTAAAAGGAGAGGAAAATCCCAGATCTGCCAGAAATCATGCGCTATTGCAGTCCACTGATGACCAGAGGGGAAGGCTACAAACTCCGGCTGAATAGCCTTCCATATGGCTTGAGGTACCTGAAGTACATTTTTACATATGACTCACTGGAATGAAGATTAGACATTTAACCATAATTTTTAGTGAATTTAATCAGCTAGAAGTCTGGACTGTTATCTGATTCAGATTCAGAGATTCTTTATTGTCATTCGCACCACATGTGGTGGAACGAGGTTATGTACACAGGGTCCCAAGTGTAAAAGAAAAACAGTAATAAGATCTAAGATATTAACTAAGAAAAACATCAACTAAATAAAAACTAAGCACTAATATCATAAAAATAATAAAAACAATACGCTGAACAGCAGCACAAACATGAGTCTGTGTGACCAGATGAGCATGAACACAGCAACATGAAACAGATCAGCAGCAACATGAAACAGATCAGCAGCAACAAGATGTGATTTTTCACAGTGGTTATTCTGGTTAGAGATTCATGAGTCTAACAGCCTCAGGGTAGAAGCTGTTCCTCAGTCTAGTGGTTCTACACTTAATGCTCCTTAACCTCCTTCCTGAGGGGAGCGGGGCAAAAAGTGTGTGTGCTGGGTGAGTGGGGTGCTTCATGATACAGGTGGCCCTCTTCCTGCATCTGGAGGTGTAGATATCTGTGATGGTGAGGAGACTGACTCCAACAGACTTCTGTGCAGCCTTCACCACTCTCTGAAAAGCTTTTCTTTCTGCAGCTGTGCAGCCTCCATGCCACACGTTGATGCTGGAGCACAGGATGCTCTCCACTACACACCTGTAGAAGGAGGTGAGGACTGAGTTTCCCAGACCAGATCGCCTCAGCCCCCTGAGAAATTAGAGTGACTGATGAGCTTTCTTGATCAGGCTGGTAGTGCTGTTGCTCCAGTTGAGGTTTTCATTCACCCAAGTACTTGTAGCTGGAGACCACTTCCACTGCAGATCCTCCTATGTTCAGGGGGGGTAGGTGTTTGTTTCTTTTGAGGTCCACGACCATCTCCTTTGTCTTCTTCACATTGATGTGAAGGTTATTCTCTTTGCACCAGCTCTCCAGGTGTTCCACCTCCTGCTTGTAGCTGGACTCATCGTTGTTTGTGATGCATCCCACCACCGCTGTATCATCTGCAAACTTTACAATGTTAGAGCCTGGAGGGTAGGTGCACAATCATATGTCAGCAGAGTGAAAAGGAGAGGGCTCAGCACACATCTCTGAGCAGAGCCAGTGCTGAAGGTTATGGTGGAGGAGGAAAAGTTATGGATCCTCACTGACTGTGGTCTGTTTGTTAAGAAGTCTTGGACCCAGTTGCAAATGGAGGGGCTTAGTCCTAGTGTGAGTAGTTTGTCCATCAGGGTTTGGAGGATCATGGTGTTGAAGGCAGATGTGAAGTCCACTTACTGTTACTAGTTACACTTACTTTATTACTCCAAAAAAGTTCAATCTGGTCCTCTGGACATTCAAAAAAACAAAACAAAGCAAAAAAATGTAGAAACGTTTCGTCTCTCATCCGAGAGACTTCCTCAGTCTGAGGTGCTGTTTTCAGCTCAGTCTCTTAAATAGCACCTTCTCAGAGTGGATCAACCAGTTTGCTGCTGACAACCAAAACCAGCTGCTCACATGGTCAAGAAGGACCATCAGGATCAAGGATCATTAGCACCTGATGGCTGTTTACTATTCACAGGGGGTTGAGTGATACTAGCAATCACAGCCTGATGCATGCTCAAGTCAACATACGGAATGACCACTGGTCTGGGTCTATCAATATCAGAGGTTTGGTCTGGGTCTAGGTCTTCTAGGAAACCCAGACCTAGACCAGTGGTCATTCCGTATGTTGAGGGAGTAGCAGAGAAACTGAGATGTTTATTTTCTAAACATAACGTCCCAGTGGCTTTTAAATCCCAAAATACATTACTACACTCATCTCCAGGCCAGCGGTCACTCTTTCAGGGATGTAGATGTTCACATCCTGGACAGAGAGGAACAATGGTTTGAGAGAGGAGTAAAGGAGGTCATCTTTGTGAAAATAAATCATCCATCATTAAACAGGGGTG